ACTTTCATCCTTTCTCTAGGTTCATAGTGTTTCTGGAGGCAAGCTATGACGGAAGTGTATAGGTAGGTAGATAAGATGTATTACCCAACACACACATACACGTATATACATGTTGTTATATGCCATCGAGTCAGAACTCACTCACAGCCAACTCTCCAGTAGCCATAGGAAGCTCAAGCGGTAAGAAGCAGTGCTGCAATTCCAAAGGCATGCAATTCAAATCTACCAGCTGCTCTATGGGAGAAGGATGGGCAATCTCCTTCCATGCAATTTGCTGCCTCTGAAAACCCGCTGGAAGGTCAGCGATGGTTGGTTCCAACTCTATGGCACACCACAACAAATAACATGGCTTTGATTAGACACACTTTAGTCTTTAAATTGACATCCTTCCTCTTCTGAACTTTAGAGAGGTCTTTGACAACTGATTTCCCCAATGTAACATGTATCTTTATTTCTTGACTTTGAGTCAGAGATTTTTATATACATATTTATAACCTTCACTGGCTTTGCCTAACGTGTAATGTGTAAGTCTGTTTACCTTACTTACCGGGTAGCCTTCTGTCCACTAGGCCAACTGATCTCTCTCTAAATTACATACATGATGATAAATATTTCAGTCTCTTGAGTGCCCTACTTTACTGCCGGACCTCTGTCAGTGTTTGGCAGGTGAGCCTTTATGGTAAACAAAGGACTCTAGAGTAAAATCCCACAATCTGGGGACCCCCAGCAGTCACTCAAACAACTGATCAGTACTGACTTAAAGTATGGGGCTCCAAGGGCACTACCCCTTTAGCCAGTCTTAAATGGGTGTCTCAGCAAGAGGAAAAATTAACCAAAGACAGAAGGCTTGACTTTGGGGGAAGGACAAGGGGTTCCTCTGGATTGCAGACCATATCTCATGGACCCCTGGCTCTGACCTTCACCCGGAAGAAGAAAAAGAAGCAGAGCAGACTAGTTTTAAGTAGTAAACTCAGTATGCAAGTGTGAATGCTGAGTCGCAGGAATGATGTTGAGGCTACCAGGAAGAAATCCATGCAGCCACGCTGGATTTTGTTAATTAGGCGTCAGTCTAACAATCATTAGGGTCACTTGAGAAGGGAGAGAAAGTTAAAATGGGGGTGTGTGTGTGTGTGTGAGGGGGAAAGCCATCTTTTTAAAGAAAATTGATTTTGCCAACAGAGAGATTGTAGTTTTGAGCACATGTTAATTTCCCCCCTTTCCATAGTTTTTTTTCTTTTACTTAAGGGATAATGTACTCTTCATAGAATAGCTACTTCCTCTGGAAGCAATTTCCGTTAAAAGCTGGTGTGGCATGTTTGGGGACTGTGGGTCAGTGCTAACGGAGTATGTTGCCATGCCACATGACTCAGCACGTTCCTGACCGCATTTCTTCTTAATGGCATCAACCTCTGAGTTATCACCCTTTCCCTCCTCTTTTTTTTTTTGGGGGGGGGGGATGGAAGCTTTTTATTTTGGATTATACATTGGACTATACTTTTATTAAATGAACTTTTCATTATGGAATCCATAGTTCTGTACTATAATGTAATGTAAATAAGACAGTTATACAAAGTGACACTTTAGGATTAAGCTGGGTATAAATGCAGACTGTCACAGACATCATCAGTAAGCATGTTAACACTTCACCTCAGCTTTTGGGTCATGGTTTATTCCAGCTGTGCTTCCTTCATTAGACAGCTGTTATGTTTCACTTTCGTGCCATATTGTGGGTGCCAGAGAACTTGCATTTGCCAAGGAATAATCTCCTGAGATGCAATGTCATGCAGTAGAATGGTGTAGTCTAATTCAATGAAGTCGTCATTTCTTTGCACTTGCTTGACAGTTTGAATTTTTATCATTTTATACCATGTATTTTCAGTAGAATTCTGCCATATTATATAACAACAGGCAACCCAGGCTAAATGTCGAACTGGCTTCATTTCTGGAGATACATTTCCAAAATTGTCTGGGATATTTTGTGCTTCTCGTGGTTCCTTCATGGACTTGAGTCTTTGATAAAATGCGTTATCTTCTTTATCTGGGTTCTTTCCGATTTCGCCTTCTAATGTGAAGTTGACTTCTGGCGCAGTGTCTTGTTCAGCTGGAGGGTAAAGGACTTCTGCTGTGCAGTTCACTGTGATTTGTTTTTGGATAATTTCTTCCACAGAAAATTTAAGGCGATACTTATGTCCTGTTCCCGGAATATCCTCCATGCTCGCCTGCTGGACCGTCTTGTGCGGGGTCCCCTGCTGGTAGTTGATGCAGTTCTCGGCCACCAAGGCCGCCCTGGAGGCCGGGTAGTGGGTCGGCGGGATCTCCATGCCTGCGAGCGGGGGGCCGGGCGCCAGCGGAGCTGCTCGGGCGGGCAGCCTGCTCTCGAGGCGGCCGGCGGCGAAGTGGCTCCTCTTTTCTTTTAATCTCCTGTTGATTTACACCTTTGACATTTCTGTTCATCAACCCTGTGCTTGTTACTATCAGGATGTCTCTGAAGACCAAACTTCCCTCTGTGGCCACAAAAGGAAACCTTGACTCTCAGGTGACGTGGGAGTTTGAGGCCGAGAGGTGTCCTTCTCTACACACTTGTAACAATTCAGATTGCTTTTCCCCGTGTTTCTCTTGGCAGAGAGAAATGCCATCACGCTAACTGAACTTTTGGATTGATTCTTCGTAGAGTGGCTCCCCATTTTTCTCTAGGAACAGTGCCTCTGGGTTGGGAGGGTGATGTGTGCCTGCCGCCTGAGGCATACACCAGCGACTATGCACCTGGCAAGTGTGAGGGTGTCACACGCTTCTCTGTTGTCACACAAAGCCCTTCCCTGTGTTTCCCACCACTTGTCCTCTGTGGCGTTTTCACAGCCTCTTGAATGGAGGATCATCTGTTACTTTATGAAAATATAGCCCCAGCTGGGGAATTTGCCACAGGAAAGGCCACGGTGGTGACTACCCAATGACCACATTTACATCAATGAGAGAGTCCCCGCCCCAGTGGGGTGTTGTGAATGGGTGGCATAGTGGGCAGGGGTAGCCCAGCCAGAGCAGAGGCAAATTGGTTGGGTGCTCATTTGTGCAAGAGCCCCCACTGACATCATATAGGGCTCCAGCAGGTTGAGTGTGGATGTGTTTACCGGAAGCTTGAATCAGGCTAGCACAGCTGTCTGTCTGCCAAAGATACAAGAATACGCAGTCTTTCTTCTCACCTCCTCTCTCCCTTGAGTCTTGGTTGGTTTGATGAAAGCCAGGAATGTGGATCTGAGGTCCGGTTGCAGGATCGCCTGCCTGTTACCATCCCTCACCCGTGCTGAGGGTGTGAGACAAGCCAGGGAGAGCAGGTGATGAATGGCTGCAAGGGGTCCTATAGCCTGGGTGTGGGTGAGGGTCTGCCTGCCTGTCTGTCTCTGGGTGTCTGAGTTCTAAAAATGTGTATTGTTTGTTCCTAAAACAAAACAAAACAAAAACTAACAACACAAAACCAAAAAAACCCAAGAACAGAAATCCATACGAGGGTGTTGGCCATGATGCCTCTGTCTGAGCTAAGGAAGAACCTTCTCCAGGCTTCTCCCAGCCTCAGGAGGCCACAGGTGTTCCTTGTTTGTGTTTACAGCATCAAGTGCCTCTCTCAGATATCATCTATTTCATAAAGACACTCTAGTCATGCAGGATTCACATAAGTCCTATTCTGTTATGACCACCCGTTCACTGATAATCTTTTTTAAATGTCCCATTTCCAAACAATGGAACCTGGGTGGGATGGGCTGTTAGGAATTGGGATGGTAACCAAAAGGGCCATGGTTCGAATCCAGCAGCTGCTTCAAAGGAAAGCCAACGAGGTTTGACATGAATTGGAAATCAACTGAACAGCAATAGACTTGACTTGGATTTATTTCCCAGACAAATTCACCTTTGGAATTAGCAGGGGTTAGAACTTGAATTCAGATCCAGTTCAGGCCATAAGATTTTTACAAAAATTTATTAAATTCCCAGCCATTGTAAGAATTCTTATCATACTGAACATTACCTTTCTTTTTTCCATTATGACACCTTTGTGTGTGTGTGTGTGTGTGTGTGTGTGTGTGTGTGTGTGTGATGCTTTAATCTTATCCCTTGTGAACTTGATTACTGTAAGGTCACTGAGGAAGGACAGAACCCTGTTCAGGCCAAGAGAGTTTATTGAGGAGAAACTGCCAGGCTGGCTCTCAAGCAGGAACTAGCACTAAAAGTTAGAGAGGAGTTTTATATTGTCTTACGAGGAACCTGGGGAGGGGGATGCTCACAGATTTTTTACAAGATAGGGAACTGGGCTGGGGTCTCAGATAACTATTCCTAGGAAAGGAGGTAGAGCAGTTTCACATCCTTGGCAGAAACAGCCACAGCTGCTGCCTCCTGCGTTTGGATCATTTCGGTGGCTGTTCTAGAAAGGAAGAGAAGAACAGCTCTGCAGGTGTAAAATTGCCTGTAAAGCATTCCCACACATCCAAAAGAAATAACAAAGCAGTTTCATTGTAGACAATGCACAGAACCTTTTAGGTTTCTGTTTCCTAGAAATGGAAACCTATCCTATTGGCTGCTGCATGCCTTGAGCTGGGCTTTGGGTGGGGCAGAATGGCTTATCTACACTCAGGGGCTTAGGATCCACTTTGGGGAGATCTGCCTGTCTAGGTGAGTAATGCAGGAGGTATAGACACCCCTCCTCCGGTGGGTGGTGGGCTGCCAGCAGGGACCCTCACTGACCGTCTGAAGGGACCCTCACCTCTCAGAAGCAAGGAAGCACAAAAGGAGATAACACGCTCTGGGTCCCTTTCTGAGCCCCAAGTCCTTTCATACCCTCAATACCCACGTCCCTCCTTCTCTCACCCCCAAGTCCTCTCCATGCCTGCTGCCCCTACAAGCTCCGAGCTCGCCCTCCATATCTTTCATGGCGGTGGGTAGGAAGCCAGTTCTGGGGTCCTCAGCTCCCATCCAAATGTTCCCCCCTTGCAGGCTGGCCTTCTCTTCTCTCCGCCATGGCGTTCGCCGCTGCCAGCCTCTGGACCACCAGCATGGCCTCCAGCCTCATGTCAGCAGTAACCACAGCCAATGTAGCTACACTGGCCTCTGGAGTCACTGGGGCTGGACTTCCCTCTGTGGGTGAGTGTCCCATCCCAGGAGGGCCTGGTGCTGGGGAGACTGAGGACTGGGGGTGGAGGTCAATGTCATAGAAGCCAGCACCCAGTGAGGGGCTCAAACTAGACGATTCGGATCCCAGGGCCTTAAAATCCAGGTGTCAGCGGGGCCATGCTCCCTTCGAAGGCTCAAAGGGAGAGGATCCTTCTTGCCCTCCCGGGGTTCCCCGGCTTGTAGTTCTGTCACTACAGTCCCTTCATCTGCCCGTTGCTGTCATCCATATGTGCTGTCTCTATCTCCACTGTTTTTAGAGGGACAAGTCATATTGGCTCGACCCTGGCATGCCTCCAAGGTCAAGAACACATTTTCTCTGTCAAGACCCAATTTCCGAGTAATTCCTCATCCTAAGGTTCAAAGATTAGGGCTTGAGTGGATATACGCATAACACTAAGTCCAACCCCCTTGTTCCTGAGTCGATTTTAACTCAGCAACCCCAAAGGGCAGAACAGAACTGCCCCACGGGCCCAAAGCTCTGTCTATGGAAGCAGGCCACCACATGTGTTTCCGAAGGTCGGTGGGTTTGAACCATTGACTATTCTGTTAGTTGTTGAGCTCTTAATCATTGCACACTCCTTCCCATAACACCAGCGCTAGTACATCCTCTCAGGGCAAGTCTCTTTCTGTTTCTGGGGTCACAGACTTCCCTACCAGGCTCCTTGAAGTCAGCACTTCTGGTTCTACCTTCTCAGGGGTGGATCTGGATTTCCAGAATCAGTGATGGGCAGAAGGGACTATTCCTTCCCAGGACTCACAACCATAGACAGTCCCTCCCCTCAGTGGACAGTGGGCTCAGGGGGTGAAGGGAAGGACCAGCCTGGATCAACCCACAGAATGTTCTTTTGGTTTTCAGCCAAGACCGCCGCTGCCCTGGCTGGAGGTGGTGAGTGACTACAGGGAAAGGGTCCCGGGACTTGAGAACTCGCCCATGCCCCAGTCTCCCCCAGGACACATGTGTCTGAGCGAAGGACAGAAATGAGCAGAGGACACAAGATGCTGGAATAGGACTGGGAGATGCAGGGATGGGGTAGCCCAGGCCCTCCTGTTCTCTGAGCAAAGCAACCACAATGTGGTGCTGGCTGTGTATCCTGTCACCTCTGAGAAACAGGACTGATGGTGACTATCCTGGGACATTGGCAGGTTTACGTAGGGTCGGACACACACGGAGTTTGGACACAGTACGTGCTTCGACAAGCTGTCATCACTCAGATCCCCTGGTCCAGCAGACACATCGGGGATCACCGAGCTGCTGTGGGGGCTTAGGGGGCAGAGGCTTCAGCTTGGCTCTGAACAGGCCAGCTTTACCTTTGCTAGTCTCCTAGGTACAACTGGTGTGGATGAAAGATTTCCTCAGTAACTATAAGAGCATGCAAACCCCTCCTTTGCTCCACTGCTCCCCAGGACAAGAAGGCAGGCTCTGGGAGGAGGCACTTTCCCCAGGGATGTGGTGCTGCTGCCTAGTTAGAGCCCAGTCCAGCGCCCCCACCCGCCCTGCCCTGAGCCCCACAAGCCCTCCCACATGAAAGCTCCCCCCCCCCCAGCTGTGGCCGTGGGCTCTGTGCCCGCAGTTCTCACTGCCCTGGGCTTCACCGGGGCTGGCATCGCAGCCTCCTCCATAGCTGCCAACATGATGTCCGCAGCGGCCATCGCCAATGGGGGTGGAGTGGCCGCCGGCAGCCTGGTGGCTACTCTGCAGTCCTTGGGTAAGTGTGGCAACCAGGGCTTGCTGTGGGGACCCTGCTTTCCATAAGCACCCCTGGTGTGCTGTCTCGCCCCTCTCTCTGGGATTCTCTGAAGGAAGCAGAGCAGAAGCTTTGGTGTGGAGGGACCTTCTGGGCTCAAGGAACTCTGCTCCCAGCAGATTTAGAGGATCCTTGGAGCATTTGGGCACTGCCCGGGGCTGGCTTCTTCCGCCCCATCACTGGCAGCTGTTGGACTGGGACCTCTGTGTGGTCGCCTTTTCCTAAGCAGAGATCTGGGAGTTTCAGGAATCAGCAACAGCACTGGGTGGAATCTCTGGGCCTCTACCCCTCCACCGGGTCCCTGGGGTCTCTGAGCCCGCAGATGCGTCCTTGGTGCCGTTCACCAGGCCACCTTCGAGACCGGTGTGTCCCTTCCCACAGGAGCAGCTGGTCTCTCCCTGACTGCCAAGGCCATCCTGGCCTCCACCGGGTGTACCATCGGGGCCATGCTGCTGCCTTAGCTGGGCTCTCTGCCCTCCTGCCACGTCTCCCCTGGAGAGTTCCTACAGAGGAACAGACAATCAGGCTGAACCAAATGTGACCCCCATGCCCTGTCCCCCAAGAATAAAGATGCCTGATGTAACCATGTGTGGAGTCCTTTGTTCCCGTTCCAGGTTAGGGTGGGTTCAGCAGTGACTGCCCTGGACTGGGAGACCCAGGCTCTTTCCTGATAAGGTCGTGAACCTGGCCACATGGTTATCTTACTTATCTGTAATAAGTTCAAATCTGAGGACAGCAGCCTTCAATATGGATTGCATCTCAGCATCAAAGAAACAAAGATGCTCACCACGGGGCCAATAGGCCATATCATGATAGATGGAGAAAGGATTGAGGTCGTTAATGATTCCATCTTTCTTGGATCCATAGTCAACATTTTTGGCACAAGCAGTCAGGAGATAAAAAGCTGTATCAGGCAAACCTGCTGCTAGAGAGCTAAAGAGCAATGGGGTCAATTTAGAGACTAAGGTGCACCTGATTCAGGCAGGTCTTCTCAGTGCTTGCTGTGGGTCTGAGAGCTGGACAATGAGTAGGAGTGACAGAATAAGGATCAATGCCTTTGAGTTTTGGTGCTGGAAAAGAGTATTAAACATACCATGGACTACCAAGAGAACAAGTAGGTGTGTCCTGGAGAGGGTGAGACCAGTTTGCTCCTCGGAGGCAAGGATTTCTAAGCTCTGTCTCACATACTTTGGGCAGGTTGCCAGGAGGGATCAGTTCTTGGCAAAGGACACTGTAATAGCAGAAAATGCAAAATTTAAACAGTCAGCCAATATTGGAGATTAACAAACACGCGGGTCAAGAATGTCAGCTATTTCCCAAACCGTACCAAACCAGAGGCGAAGCGAAGATTGTGTTTATATACAGAGATTGGGCCTGCGTGTTCCATGAAGTTCACTGTGGTTCGCAGTTGACGTTGCTTTACATTCAGGAGTCATTATTGTTTCTGACTTCTCATGGCTGGGCAGGATGCAGTCAGGGAGTGGTAACCAAGCTGGGTCAGCACATACTGGGAAACAGAAACCTTAGCAACATTTCTTATTGCCAAAATGATTGAAGCATACATTTCTTAAAATAGCTGTCAGAACAACACGGCTTCTCTGATGCTAACATATAAAATGACTTCTCTCATTTAAGCTGCTACTACAATGCCTGGAAGGGTGGAGGGTCAGCATAGAAGAGGAAGACTCTGGAAGATATGGACTGACACAGTGACTGTGGCAATTGGATCAGGTGTGTCTGATACGGTGACGTTGGTTCAGGATAGGCCAAGGTTCAGAGCTGTTGTTCATAGGGTCACTGTGAGTCACAGTTGACCTGATGGCACAAAATAACACTAACAAGAGCTGCCCACCGCACGGAGTGCTGACAATTCAAAATATGTAAAAAAACAAAACCAAACCCATTCCTATGTGTCTCCAACTTGGTCTAAGGGGCTTGAGTTTTACTCTACAGAAAAATAAACCTATTAGATTTTCTCGTTGTTAGGTGTCATTGAGTACACCATGACTCATAGCAACCCTACTTAGAGCAGATCTGAACTTGGCCTTATCCTGTGCCATTTTCATTATCCCAGATGTACTTGAACTTATTGACTTCTTTGCTGTATGATCCATCTTGCTGTCAGTCTTTCTCCCTTTCTCTGACTCTCCCCCTCACCCCCAATAACATGCCCAAAGTATATGCTACTTAAGTTTCACCACCCTCTCCTCTCAGGAGCACCTCGAGTGTGCTTCCTCCAAGACAGACTTGCTTGTTCTTTTGACAGATCCGTGAGATATTCAACACTCTTCTCCAACATCACAGCGCAAAGGCTACAACTCTCCTTCTGTCATCCTTACTCATGGACCAACTTTCAGACGCACAGCAAATAATTCGTTCCAGATATACTTGCTTTGTCTTTTTTTCCTTTCTTGATATTTTTAAGACCTGGATCAAGGCTGGGGATATACATCCCCCACCCCAAATACACTTTCCCAGAATAATGCCTTCAACTATAAGGTGTCATCAGAGCTCCACAAGGCCTCCTGGGAGTTGAAGGCAGAACCCTGACTCCTTCATTTACTCTACAAAGCAGACCTCACCCAAGCACTCATTCTTCTACGCTCGTTGTGTGTCTTGGTACCCTGGTCTGCCCCTGCCACGTGACCAGGAGGCTTCACAGTGCCCAGGAGGTCTGACTCCATTCAGATAGCAAGTCTCTGGTCCCCACCTCTGTGCTCCATAGTCTGCCCTGGGTCTCTACCATTCCACATGTGGATCTTCTCTTTGCAGGAAAGGCCTCTGGGGTCCTCTACCATGTGAATGGGGTGGGGGGGAACCCAACTCAAGTTTGCAGACACCACACGGCCACCACTCTTGGTTCGGTCTTCTCTTGAAGGACCCACCTTAACATTCCTCACACCACACAGCTCTCGTGATATCTGCTGACCTCATTAGAGGACCCAAGAGGCCAGTGAGAAAGGTCTGTGGGGGTGGGGAAGAGGGCGTAGGGCATATGAGTTCCTGATACTGAGAAAAGGCGAAGGACTTTGAGGTCATTATGTGTGCTGGCCACTTCTCATTGTCGCCTCCCAACAGTGACAACGTGTCCTTCCCAGTCACTGAAGAGGGTAAATGGTATAATCTGAGCCAGACAAGGACCATGATTGGTCCTAGGCCACACAGCTTATTCTTGGTGGGCTCAGCCTGGTCGCAGTCTGATTTGGTGGGTGGCCGCCAATCACCGGGCTCTATCTTTCATGACAAGGTATGGTGGGGACAGGCAGACCCTCCACCCGCCTCCTCCCCAATGCCAACAGCAACTGCAGCCAACGAGGACGGGGCAGTCATCAGCACAGTAACTTTATTTCTCATGTTTTCTTTGATGGAGGTCTAATTTGGGGGTCATCATCTCCTGAAGATGAGTCCTCTTCGTCTTCTTCGGCTTCATCTGAGGGAGCAGGTGGGGTTTTCTTTTTTGAACCCCCCATGTAGTACCCAAAAGCTGACCCAGCAGTGCCCAGAAGGATGTTGGAAGAGGTGGAGAGGCCAGCAGCTCCTGGCAGAGAAAAGGAGAGTTAGCACAGGGGACATGCAGAGGCCAGGGGCTCAGGCCCCATAGGAGGCCCCCAGACCCCACCTGGTTCCCTTCTCCACCACTTGGGCTCTTCCCCGCTCCAGCTCTATTCTGGGGCGAGGATGCTGGAAGCAACTGAGGGAGGAACGAGTTTTGGGGAGTAACTCAGTCACAGACTTGAGAGCATGTTGTTGTTGTTGTTGTTACGTGCCGTTGAGTCGTTTGTGACTCACAGCGACCCTATGTACAACAGCCCTAAATTCTGCTCTATCCTGTGCCAATCGCACCGTCTCCGATACACCCATCCCGATTACCCCAGTCACTGAATCAATCCACCTCATAGAGGGCCTTCCCCTCCTGCGCTGCCCCTCCACCCTCCCAAGCATGATGTCCTTCTCCAAGGACCGGTCCCTCCTTACAACATGTCCAAAGTATGTTAGATGGAGCCTCAGAATCCTTGCCTCCAAGGAGCCACCCAGTTTAACCTTCTCTAGGATGAATCTGTTTGTTTTCCTAGCAGTCCATTGTACCCTCAATACTCTTCGCCAGCACCACAGCTCAAAGGCATCAATTCTTCTTCTATCCTCCTTAGTCATTGTGCAACTCTCTGATGCATAACAAGTGCTTGCAAAGACCATGGCCTGTATCAGACACACCTTAGTCTCCAGAGAGACACCATTGCTCTTTAGTACTTTTGAGAGGTCCCTAACAGCAGACTTTCCCATGGCAATACCTCTTTTAATTTACTGGCTACTGGTGCCGAGTGTTGGCTGTGGAGCCAAGCTGACTAAAGCTGTGAACAATCTCAATCTCTTTACCATCCATCCTGATGCTGCCAATTGGCACAGTGGTGAGAATCTTTGTCTTCTTGACATTGAGCCTCAGTCCATATTGGAGGGTGCAGTCCTTGACCCTCTGTAGCAAGCGCTTCAGGTTCTCCTCACTTTCAGCAAGCAGGGTTGTGTCATCTGCATAATGCAGATTGTTGATAGGTCTTCCACCAATCTTGACCCCACATTCCTCTTCACAGAGCCCAGCCTCCCGGATAATCTGTTCTGTATACAGGTTGAAAAGGTATGGAAACAGGACACATCCCTGGCGTACGCCCTTCCCAATTTTGAACCATGCAGTGTTTACTTGTTCTGTTCTGATGACTGCCTCTTGGTCCAAGTATAGGTTTCGCATTAGCACAATCAAGTGTTCTGGGATTCACATTCTTCTGAGTCAGCCACAGTTTGTTATGATCCACACAGTCAAATGCCTTCGTGTAGTCAATGAAACACAGATATACCTTCCTCCGGTATTCCCTGCTTTCAGCCAAGATCCATCCAACATTAGCTACAATATTCCTAGTACCACGACCCCTTCTAAACCCAGCCTGGACTTCTGGCAGTTCTCTGCTGATGTGTTGTTCCAGTCGTTTTTGGATAATCTTCAGCAGAATCTTGCTTGTATGTGAAATTAATGATATTGTTCTATAGTTTCCACACTCTCTTGGGTCACCCTTCTTTGGGATGGGAACAAATATAGATCTCTTCCAGTCAGTTGGCCAAGTGGTTGTTCTCCAGATTTCTTGGCACAATTTGGTAAGCACATCCAGGGCAACATCTGTCAGCTGAAATATGTCAATTGGTATACCATCTATTCCTGGGGCCTTATTTTTTGCCATTTCCTTCAAAGCAGCCTGAACTTCTTCCTTCATCACCATAGGCTCTTGCTCATATGTTGCTTCATTAAATTCTTCTGTGTCTGCCAATTCCTTTCGATACAGTTACTCAGTATATTCTTTCCATCTTCTTTTACTACTTCCTGGATCGTTTAATAGTCTGCCCAAAGCATCCTTGATTATAGCAACTCAAGGTTTGAATTTGTTCTTCAGTTCCTCGAGCTTAAGAAATGCTGAGTGAGTTCGGCCCTTCTAATTTTCTAACTCCAACAGAGAACAAATAAAAAATGGGAACCTCCCTACCCACCGGCCAGCATGCCAGGTGTTGGACGCAGAACTCAGACGTCATGCATTCAGGCCAGGGCTTCATCCCCACCTCTGCCTGCCGGACACCCCTCCCCCTCCACTCCCACCTCCAACCTCGCTCAGAAGGAGGCAGAGTGAGGACAGTGAGGGACAGATGAGGACCAGGGCATCTGAGATTACCAGAGTGACCCCCAAGCCAGGCCTCAGCATATGGCCTTACTCCTATGAGGTCCCATCCTCCTTGGTGTCCTCCCTTTCCTGTCCCCACAGAGAACCTTGCAGGGACACATACCCACGGACTGCAGAGTGGCCACCAGGCTGCCAGCAGCCACACCGCCCCCATTGGCGACGGCCGCTGCGGACATCATCTTGGCAGCTAGGGAGGAGGCTGCGATCCCGGCCCCGGTGAAGCCCATGGCGCTGAGAGTCACGGGCACCGCGGCCACGGCTGCCACTGTAACGGGGGGAGGAGCCTCAATGTGGGAGCTGAACTCAGAGGGTCATCCCCCCACCGATTTGGTCAAGCTTGGGGGGCATCAAGGGACTTAGAGCAGGGTGAACTTTGAACTTAGGAGAGACAGCAGGGATGGGGCAGAGGACATGGGTCAGAGGAAGAAGGTAGGTGGGGAAAGCTGAGGAGAGGGCTGGTGGAGGTCAGTGGGCTGGGTGCTAGGTGGGCAGCAGGACCCTGAGGGGAGGGAAGAGGGGCTGTAATGTGAGAGGTGGCTGCGCTCTATGGAGTGGGTTATCTTCTGTGTCATTTTCTAGCCAATGACTGCATGGCTGGGGAAGACTGTCATAATGCGAGGTGTTTGTGCCCCACCAAGAGAATTGTGTACCTTGCTCATATGTAAATAAGGTCAATGGTAACTTTTAGGCTGTTATGTGTCCTTGAGTCATCTGTGACTCATCGGGACACTATGTACAACAGCTCTGAAGCCTGCCCCGTCCTGAGCCAATCTCACTGACTCCAACACACCTACCTCCATTGCCTTAGTTACTGCATCAATTCATCTCATCCATGGTCTTCCTCTCCTGCACTGTCCCTCCACCCTTCCAAGCATATTGTCCTTCTGTAAGGACTAGCCCCTCTTGGCCACGTGCCCAAAGTATGTCACATGGAGCTTAAAAATCCTAGCCTCCAAGGAGAAACTTGGTGGCACCCTCTCCAGGACAGACCTATTTGCTTTCTTCTTCTTCTTTTTTTTAGATTTTAATGAAAATTTATAAAGAATTTGGATTTCTATCCATTCATTGTGGCATATTTTCCTCCCTGCCCTGCTCTTCCCCAGTTCACTTCTTTCTTTGGAAAAAAGTTATTTCATTGTTATACAGTCCCCTCCCCTTTACTATGCTCTTTGTTTTCTTGTTGGTTCATGGTATGTTCAAGACTCTTCTCCAGCACCACAACTCAGAGGCATCAATTCTTCTTCTGTCATCCTTAGTCATTGTCTACCTCTCTGATGCATAGCAAGTAGTTGCAAAATAAGGTGTGCAGGCTACTTGCAAGAAATTGGCTGGTTCTGCCATTCCACCATCCTTAAATTGAGTAGGTTCGGAGGTAGAAAGCTCAGAATGTTACTACCATCAAAAAAGCAGACGCTGTCCCAATGGAAAAATTTTCCTCTAGGTCGTATAGCCCTGGTGTACAAGTTGCTGTTCCGCGGTCACTTGTGGTTGCTGTGAGGCTGAACACTGCGACACTGATGTGTCAAATGCGTTAATGGTTGGCTACCCAAGGCGGACTGAGAGTGGGGTGGAGCTCCCTGATTGAACAAGCGTGGAAGGAGGAGTGGCATCCACTTCCATAATAGCTTGCCTCCGGAAACCCTATGAACTGGGAGAGAGGATGAAAGGCACCCAAGCGTCAAAGACTCTCCTTCATAGGGTCGCTATGAGTCGCCTGCGACTCGATGGCATTTAACAACAACAACATCTAAACTGAATGGTAACCTGCGACTCCGCTAATACTCAGGTACTGTCTTGGGGTTTGTGTGGTTATTGTCAGGGATTAGAGACCCTTGTGGTGAAGGAGATGGAAGTCCGGAGAGGTCCGGTTGCTGCCAGAATTGATAGGAGGTGCAGGAGCAAGGACGGGCAAAGCTGACCCCTTGGGGATCATTTTGGTGCTGCTAATGTTCTTTGTGGGGTTTCTTTCCCCTTATGGAATTATGTGGGGGGGGGGTGTCAGACTATTCCTCACACTTGCTGCACTGACTGTTCTTCAATGGACTCAGGGCAATAAGATCCTTAGGAACTCTTTGATAGTCTCTGGGGAGCAGAGGGAGTGGGCAGTCTTTTGGGTTATATGGAAAGTAGCGGCTTGGATAGGGTCCTACAGCATAGAAGAGGTGGGGGTGTGCAGCCAGGTCAGGGCAAAGAGCTCCCAGAAAAGCAAGGCTCTCCTCCTGGTCTGGTCTAACCTAACTGTGTGGCTCTGCGAAGTCACTCACACACCCTGGGCCTCACACTCTTCTGAGTAAATGCTGTTCTTGTTGTTGTTATGTGCCGTCCAGTCGCCTGCGACTCATAGCGACCCTATGTACAACAGCCCTAAACTCCGCTCTGTCCTGTGCCAATCGTACTGTCTCTGACACTCCCATCCCAATTGTCCCAGTCACTGAATCAATCCACCTCATAGAGGGCAGGGGTGAAATAAGTTCATTATTTTTAAAATCACTTTTCTGCCAGAAACTCCCTTGTACAAATCTGTCTATCTGCTCAATATACTCAAAGGCCTGCAGGAGAATGTGGGAGAGGAAGCCGGCAGGGAGTTGGCCCTCCTTCCCAGAAGGAGTGCTCTGGGCAGACCTGGTAGGGTGGTATGGGGGGGGAGGTTGCCAGCACTTTAACCCACCCACCCCTCTTCCCTTTAGTCTCTGAACGCCCAACCACACAGCTGGGCTCAGCTCAGGGTGAAGGGTGCGGAGGATCCAGGTGACTCACCTCCACGAACAGCAGCCAGAGTGACTCGTTCTTCAGGGAAAGAAGGAAAGAAAGAAAGAGAGAGTTAGTTAGGTGGGGAAGGGAGGGAAAACAGCGACCCCCTTGGCCACTAGTCCTTGTTGGCGCGGGTGGGTTCTCTTGCCCTCTCTTAGCCCTGGGAGCAGGGAGCAGAGGATGGACTTACTCATCATCTTGATTCCACTAACTGTGGCCAGCTACGGGAAGTAAATGCTTGATAAGCGAGGAGTAGGATGACACTTGCTGGGGGCCAGCCAATGAGGACACGGCCCATCCCTCACAGAGTGGACACACTTAGATGACGCAGAAACATCCCTCCCCAAGTGCTCCGCCCCAACCCACAACCTGCCCCTTCCAATGCGCGCCTTCCTAACTGCTCTGCTTTTTCTCCTTGTCTTCCCAGTGCTCCCGTCTGTGAAAAGAGTGACAGTGCAAAAATACAATAACGTCAGGCAGCACAAGGACAGGGAGCCCTGGGAACAGATCACTGTCCTGAGCCAGTCTCACTAACTCCAGTACACCTACCCCCCCCCCCCCCCCCCACACACCCCATTACCTCAGTTACTGTGTCAATCCATCTCGTCTGGGAACTTCCTCTCCTGTGCTGTCCCTCCACCTTTCTGAGCATGGTGTCCTTCTCTAAGGACCAGTCCCTCCTGGCCACATGCCCAAAATATGGGAGACAGAGCTTCAAAATCCCAGCCTCCAAGGAGAAACTTGGTTTCACCCTAAGATAAACCTATTTGTTTTGACTGTCCATGGTATGTTCAATACTTTTTTCCAGCACAACTGAAAGGCATTGATTTTTCTTCTATCATCCTTAGTCATTGTCCAGCTCTTTGATGCATAGCAAGTAATTGTGAAGAGTATTGCCTGGATTAGGCACACTATAGTCTCTAGACTGACATTGTTGCTTCTCAGTACTCTGGAGAGGTCCCTGACAACAGATTTTCCCAGTGAAATTCTTCTGATTTCTTGATAGCTGGTGCCAAACATGTTGATTGTGGAGCAGAGCAAGCTGAAATTGTTAAAGCCTCAATCTCTTCTCCATCTATCCTGGTGCTGCTAACTGCCTCCATCCCAAGGATCTTTGTCTTCTTGATGTTGAACTTCAATCCATGTTGAAGACTGTAGTCCTTGACCTTCTGCAGCAACCACTTCAGGTCCTCCTCAGTTTCAGCAAGCAAGGTTATGTCGTCTGCATAACACAGGTTGTAGATGAGTCTTCTTCCTCCAGTCCTGAGGTTACATTCCTGCTCATAAAACCCCGTCTCCCTAATGATCTGTTGGTGCATATAGATTGACAAGGTATGGCGATAGGACCCATTCTTGATGCACTCCTTTCCTGATTTTGAACCATGCAGTGTTTAGTAATAAGCTGAACAAAAGATTCTAAATGGCAGCTCAAGAAGAAAAAGTTGAGTATTACCATGAAATAGACAAAGGAATGAAGGATGCTGCAGATTGAGGATAAAGTATTTTTATAATTATTAATAATGAGGCAGACAACCAGGAATGAGATAAAACAGAAAACATAAAAGACAGGGGGCCAGCAGTTCCAACAACTGAAATGCCTCACGCCACTCCTTTCTGGGTGTTTATTGATAATCAGGGGAAGCAAGTCATAAAGAAAATTCTCTTATAAATGAAGCTGAATTTTTCTCTGTTGTCAACCAAATGCTTTAGCTCAGGACGGATTTCACATGTATTAACACTCCCTCTGTAGGGGGGCCCCAGCTGTCTCTTGTCTGCAGGAAACAGCTCCTTTTCTGTGATCTGTCACAAGAGAAATCCTAACTCATAAATTTGTAATTTCTTCAATTCCTGAATAAGCATATGGTTTTTCATATAATATTTGGTATGAAATTTGGCTTCCCATAGAGGGAGCCTTGAGTGAAGGACTTGCTTGCCATTTCTCAACCTGCATGACACGAAGACCAAATTCAAGCCTCAAGTTAGAGTGGTGAAGGGTTCTATGGGCAAGATATTGAACGACACAGGAGATGTCAAAGATGGAAGTAACACAGAGAGTCACCTTGTCAAAAATAAATGATCCATGCTCAACCACTCAAGACGGCAGCAGACAATCAAGAACCAAAGGCAAGAAGTGAGAAGCGCATCGAAGGGATTGGTGTCAAGCCAGACTCCAGGAATGGCTAAGATACATCATTTGAGATGTTTCAACCACCACAACAAAAGAAATGCAGGACCGGGCTTGCTTACTCATCTATGCTGAGAAATTTAGAAAAGAGCTGCATGGCCAAGTGATTGGGAGAGATTCACATTTCTGTTCAGATTCAGAAACAATTCCAAAGAAAAGTGATACAGCAAAATGTGGAAATGATACACTACCATGAATGTCACATACAAGTCAGATCTGCTGAATGCTGATCGATTGAAACAATCAACACCCCACCCCTGTTCCCATGAGTCTTGAGCTGGCTCAAAGAAGCCTGGCTTTCACAGAGCAGAATGAACCCCTGAAGTATTATTCTGTACCTATCTGCTTCTTATTGTCTCTGTTTCTTGATGCTTTTAAGAGTCTGATCAAAGTTGGACACACAATCCCTCTT